CATTGATAAATGATCGCCCAGGAACGGCCCTCGCGGGCAACCCCCACAGCTGACCCTCCCACACACACAATGTAGTCATAGAAACACCTAGAGAACCCGGCCCCGCCTGGCGGGGGGAGAAGAGCCCGGGGCGGCCGCGGCGGGGGCGGGGGCGGGGGCGGGGGCGGCCCCGGGTCCACACCAGTTTCCAGCGACAAAAACAGCGACGGCGGAGGGCGGGGAGCCCCTTCCCAGCCCAGACCCACGCACAGCGCACACCCCGCGCCCCAGGCGGACCCATTCGTCCACACCTTTTCCCACGTGCGGCCTCACTTCCAGAAACGCCTCATACAACCAGTTAGGAGTTATATTTTGGAGAAATAAGGAAAGAGAATAGGAAAAAATAAAAGGGGGGGGGGAGAGGGGGCTTTCAAATAGCTTTCAAAGTGGTTCAAGAATTAGGTTACAAAACTTGTAGGCATCTCATTCTCACGCCTCCCTCCCGACGCCCCCACCCCCAGTTCCAAAAAAAAAAAAAAAGGTCCCAAACAACCAGCAAACCCCTCTGAACAAAGACAGCAGCTGGGCGACGCTGCCCCCACCCCCAGCGCTCCCCCCTTCCCCACATTCACGGGCGACCCCTTCCTTTCTCTGCACCTTCTCACCCACCCGGGGCCTCTGAGGGTGAGATAATGGGTTTTGCGATTGTTCCTGTCCGGGGGGGAAAGAAAGAAAAAACTCCCCACCAAACCCCACGTTTCCATCTTCGGACCGGTCTTGTGTGAGCCAATGGGCAGGTATGGAGAGCAGTAATTGATTCATAATGATCCCTAAATCGATGTCGGGGAAGCGGGGGTGCGGGGCGGAGGCGGATGGAGAGGGAGGGGGTTGGGGGTGGGGTGCTGTTTATTTATTTTATTTCCAAAGCCTCAGCTGAAGTAGCTGTGACACTGCTGGGGCTGGAGGGGAGGAGCTGCTGGCTCCGCCGGATCATCCATCATCGCTGTCACCCAGAGTCTGCCCCGGAGCCGTCGGCGCAATCCCCCTTCTGTCTCTACACCGAAACTATTAATATTAAAACCTCCCTCCGCACACCACCCCGGCCGGCCGGCCTCCCCCATCACCCCATCACACCCCATCACCTCATCACACCCCATCACCCCATCGCCCCGCGTGGCCCCTGCGCCGCCGCCGCCGCCGCCGCGCCCTCCCGGCCCGGGTTACCGACTGCAGCCGCGAGGTGCCCGCTCTCCCGCCCCGCGATTTCACGTCGGTGTCCCCCGGCCTGACACGCACTCCAGGGCGGGGGGCACGAGAGGCGGGCCGGCTCCCCCGCGAAAGGCAGCGCGCCCCCACCCTCCCTGCCTCCTCCCAGCCTCCCCGGCGCAGGGAGCGCAGTCCGCACCGTCCGGCTCAGCTCAGGGGGCGGCGGCGGGGGGGGGAGGGGGGGCGGCGGCGGCGGGTGCAGAGCCCCGGCCTCGGGTGCAGGGCCAGGGCCTCGGGCCCCACCAGACGCCCGGGCACTGGCCTTCCTGACACAGTGGCTACTTGCCGCGGAGGCCCGGGCTCCTTATCACATGGCTGCTGGCCTGCAAGAGGAATGGGGAACTTGTGGAGGATCCCTGTCTGTCCCTTTGAAGGAAGGACCCTCCTCTGACAGCTGCTAGAGATATTAGCCACATTTCCCTTCCCCAATCTGCTCCGGGTTAGCAGGCCCAGGGGCTGGGGCTGGAGGGGGCCAGGCCAGGAGGGTCCCGGTGGGCCCTTCTGGGCGAATCTATGTAGGGGGAGCGGGGGAGGAAGGGGGGACAGAAGACACAGACTTTCCTGGTCTTTTTTTCCCCCCCTCTCTCTTTTCCCCTTAAAGTGTGGCTTCTTACTCAATCCCCAACTCTTAACAGATGGCAATTGCAGTTTCTCAGAATTTCTTAAATAAAGGGAAACCTTTGGAATTTATTTCTGCTTTTGCTTTTCCATATAAAAAAAGTGTTTTTATATTACTCTTGTTTTGGAGAACATAAGCAATTTTATTCAGACTACAGTATTTCCTTTAACACTATATGGTTGTCAAAACACCATTCCCAGTTTCTTTGCTTTTGACAGCTGAGTCTTTCTTAAATATACCCAAATCGGAACTCTTTATACTAAATAGTAAACCAGAGATAGGAGCAAGTGCTTTCCGAGGGGTATAAAAAAAGCATTATACAAATTGGACCACTACCACCTCTCAGCCTTGGCATATGGGGGGGGGGGGGATGAAAACAAATATTATTACAATTATTATTCATCTCCAAGTATTTAAAAAGGTTAACATGACAGGATGTGGTTTTGTTGAAGAAATTATACCTGGGAGTATTTTATTCATGAAAACCAAGGGTCGAGAGCTCTGAGATCTAAACTTTGATGAAATAGCTTATTAATAATTGCATGACACACTTCCTAAACAGGAGTCATGCAAGTAAATCCTTCAGCATTTACCTTTCTGAGAGGAACTGAAGGAAAAATGTGCAAAAAATTAAAAAAAAAAAAAAGTGGTGAGCTAATGTGAGAGTTATTTAGAAATGGAGAACTTGTCAAATTTTACCTAAAAGCATTTACAGTTAAAGTAAACGCATATTTAAATGTTGCAAAAGAACTCCATGTGAAAGGGCCTACAAAAAATGAGAGGGAAGCTACCTCTTTTCAAGTGGCACAGAGTTTCTCCATTGCCAGTTACTTCTATGTTTAAACAGCAGCCCGTTTGCTAAGTTATAAATGTATTTATAAAAAGTCTACCAAACTAAAAACAACACACAAAAAATAGAAGTTTACTTCCTCATCCTATGTATACAACTTCTATCCATGTTTTCTGCACCGGAAAGATAGAAAAACCCCCAATAAGATACAAACTTGGATTTCTGAGACAGTGAATTATTTTCCCATCAAGTTAACATTACACAACTAAGCTAAAGCCGATATTGCATCTTTTAAACATAAGATTTAACATTTTAGTGTTACAAAAATCCCAGGATAGTGTATTTATTTGAAAAATTAAAGGGGCGTGCAAATACCTCACTTTTTTTCACTTTCCACACTTTGGCAGGCATTGTTTGTGCAGTATCAGCCAGCTAATGACACAAATTTCCAGGAATGTTGCATGAGATTTTGAAAACAGCATTAATTGCCTGTTTTGTTGTTTTAGAAAAAAAAAATTAAGTTTAGTCACCAAATCACACTAGAGTGCCTGCACATGGGGGTGTCTGAAATAAAAAGACATCATAATATAATTCATATTAAATATTAATGATAAAGTAATCTTTTCAACTCAGGATTTCAAACTCCATAGAAGTTGTTTACTCAACTATGAACATCTATATGTAAATTTTAATTTACATATTCAACAGTATTTTAGTAAGTAAGTCAGAGAAAAAACACAGGCAGATGAATTATCTTTGAGCACAGACGTTAGTTATTTCTTATGATGTAAAATTAACCCTGCAAAAGCCCTTTATTCTGGCAGAGGAAGAACATAAAAAGCTTTATCTAGAAGTATTTTTTTTAACATCATGCATTTAAAAAGGAGGTTGGACACATTGAAGGTGATCGTTCAATCTGGCGCTCACACACACACACACACACACACACACACACACACGATTTCATACCTTTAGAAGTTTTCTGCTGGGAGAATTTACAGAACAAATATACACTAAATGCTATAGATGGTTACCTTAAAAGTTCTTGCTAAGTTAAGTTTCAAATAAATTCAACTTCTCATGATAAAACCATCACCTACTCTGAACACCCTATACAGTAGGCATTGCACCGCCTTGCTTCAAAACTAGGAAAAACACAAAAGCCTAACCAAAAATCAAAAATGAAATATTTATTACCGCATTTTGTGACTTAACACCTTTTTTTTTTTAACATAACGTCACAGTCCTCATACAAGTATTTTAATGTAAATTTGACAAAGCTTAAAGGTAACAGCATTTTCTTCTAGTGAGGAACACGTGCTGAGAAAAGAAGAATTCATGGACATACAATACCAATTCCACAGCAGATCTGATACTAGCAAAAACATTCTTTTTTTTTTTTCAATTGAGGTAAACACATAGAATATCTAACATGAAACAATTAATAGACCGAACTCTGTACGAAGTTTGTTACAGTATTCTCTTGCTCTTTTTTTTTTTTTTTTCAATCCCCCAAGCTTTGAGTTTCCGATCCAGTCTTAGTTGTGGTGCGATGACCATTAACTTTTTTTTTTTCTGTTGAGGAAAGCTGCCCAACTCAAGATTGTTTTGTCCACAGCCAAGGCTTCGAGCTCCTGGAAGAAGCTCCTGCGTTGTCTTTACATCTTCTTGGGCAAGCTCTTTGAAGAAGAGTCCCCCCGAAATAATAATAAGAATTGGCTTGTGAAGCACAAACTATAGAGATCTGTTTGAAACTAAAGGACGCATTTCTGGAGAAACAAAGGCTGGGCGTGAAAACACATTCTTGAAGCTGGAGTCCGAGGGATGAGGTTCAGCCACACGCTCACCGTGGTCTCGGCGTGGTTCTTTGCTCATTGGCCCAGCGGGTTCAGAATATACCACAGTCTTCTCTTGGGTCGTGAATTCACCGATGAACCAAAGACAGTCATTCTTCTGGGAACAACACACATAGTGTGGAAAACAAGGATATATTTATTTTTTTCTCTTCTAAAACTATTTGAGGCAACATAACGGAGTGATCAACAGAAATGTACAAGTTTAACTTAGTTCCTATGTTTATACTACAGTAGTTATAACTCTCGGAGTCTTTTTTTCTTTTTTTCCAGAGGATCTTGACATGGACAGAATCGTCTCAGTGAGCCCATGGTTTCACATTTGTGTTCTTATCTCGTTGGTCCTCTGTTGCTGGATGAAAAAAATGACAAAAAGTAAAAAATAATCACAGCTGTCTGGAATTTCATATTAAGTGTCAACAATCTGGTCAAAGTTCAGAAAGTCTTAAAATAGTTTTTGCGTGTGTGTCCTTCTCCCTTGAGTTCCCTTCTACTATTGGGCATGGATGTCCATAACCTGTCCGCCAACACCGGGATCTACAGAATTTAACATTGTGGGGCTCTGTGCCGACATCGTCATTCCAGGGTGGGTGGGGGGTCCTCCGTGCATCATCATGGCAGGGTGGTGGGGATGGCTTGGCAAATACGAATGCATTGGGGGTCCATGTCTTAACTGAGTAGGGTGTGGGGTCATGTGGGGAGGAGTGTAACTTGGCTGTGCCATACTCATTCCCATAGGACCACCCTGAGAAACGTAGTCCCCTGGCATGCTCTGCAAACCTGCAGAGAGAGAGAGAGGGAAAAAGAAAGCAGGTCAAATTCCCAAACATTTTTATACTTTACCCATCAAAGATGAAAAGAAGAAAAAAAAAAAAAGAGAGAAACAACAGACACTGCAAATCTTATATCTAAATTTAGCTGCAGATTCTTGCCAATGTTTGCAGACATTCAAATTGTAGTTTGCATTTAATTTCATCGCACAGCAGTATAATGCAACACAACAGAACTAAATATTTCATGCAACTAAATGTCATAAAGTGGAACTGTTTTTTCAAAATGGTATTCAGTACATTTCTTTGATAAATGCAATGAGAGTATGAATTCTAAGTCGAGTTTTATCTGTTAACTGTTGATATATCATTTATCTTCCTTTGTTGCATTAATAGATATGAATAAAAATTATAGATATTAAAATAAAATTGACACCTTATCATATCTATATTTCTTCATGAAATATTTATTACACAAAACATTATGGCATATTCATTTTGAAGGGACGGGCTTTTATGTATATTTAAAATGAAGCCCTTTTTTGAATTAGAGGCATTCTTATGGCAGTACACCCAAGAGATTGTAAAGGTCAAAGGTAAGAAGTCAATGTAAGGTCATATGACATGCCCAGTAGTTTATGTCTGGAAATTTAAAAAAAAAAAAAAAAAAAAAAAAGCCTTGATATTAGGAATAAAATAGAACACATCTAGAAATTCTTAATCAAGATATACAAGATTTGAAGTTGTGAGTTAAAATGCTGGGAAGTCAGCAGTTGAAGGATTCTGATTTCTCTGGTAAGTTACCTGTTTACTGCAATAAGGTCCCATTATATTTCCTGTTGCCCATCCCCAGAGCTAAGAGGACAGCTTTATTCACCTCTGCTTAACCTCCAGGACAGACAGTTGAAAAGATGAACAGATGTTTTTGACACTGTAAGCTGGTAATCTAAAGGCTTATACGCGGCAGTCATTTTGTTAAGTAGATCTGTAGTCCGTTATTAGCAGAAGTGGCAAAACCATCTAAAGACAATAACGCAGTCTGCATAGTCCCAGCTCTCTGTTTATTCTACCACAGCAGCCTGCTCAATGGATGATGATAATTAAGTACCAAATATACCATATTGTGTGGCTGCATAATCAAATCAAGAGAGGATAATATTCTTCTGTATTAAGCTATTAATGTAATTGGTCATGAAGCATAAAATATGTTATGTAATTAAATAGGCTAGAAGTTATATGGCCTATATTAAGAATTATCCAAGCTGAGCAAATGTTTTCTCTATAGCTGTTTTAGGGAACATTGCTTTCTACATTTTTGACTGCATTAGTAAAGGAAGAAAGGAAGGAAATTGGCTTCATCAATGGCGCGCCATGCTGACCCCCTGAGATCTCATATGAAACGCTGGCCTCTATTTACATATAGAGAATGATTTAATCAAGGTGCGTGGTGTTATATTCGGCCTCATTAAACAAGGAAGTTTCGGTGTTTTATGAATTTTTTTATGCTCTGGTGTCTTCAGCAAAGGATCTATCTTGTTGGCAGACTCTGGGTTTTTTTCAGATGTCAAAAACACTTGAAGCTTTAAAGTCTAATGGGTTTCTTAATCCAACTGCAGCCATTCAGCCTCAGTGAAAAATCCATTCCTTCATATTCAGTTGCTCCTAAATGTCTTTCCCTTTAAATTTATTGACTGACTTTCCTGTCTTCCTGTCTCATGTCGAAAGTCAGTAGGCACATGTAAAAAATAATCAAAACACACCGACTCCCTGGTGAAGAATCAATGGTGTCACCGCTGTCATATATCTGGACTAGGCATAATGAACTGCAGCATTTCATCTTTGCATATAAGATAATTTGGGCATCAATCGTATCCTGACAGATTTATGTCACTCAAAGGACAGTTCTACTTTTACTTTTTTTTTTTTTATCGCTTCATTGAAGCCTGCTTAATTTCTCTCAGTCAACTGGTGCCCCCCAGATGTTATTTTTATTCTTAAATGTGCAATATCTGCCTGACGTCTGTGTTTGTGCACGCAGGGGCCTCCGTAAATAGGCTAAGAGGCGGTCCCCCTGCTTAAGGCGCACACAGGCTTGTCAGTTGGCCTTTTCAAAAGTGCGTAGCGGTGTCATCTGCGCCTTCACAGACGGTGATATATATTTAAAAACAGGTCCTTAGTTTGGAAAGGCATGCAGTTATGGGCAAGGAAAAATAAAACGGGGGCAAATCATAAAAAAATAAGATGAGGTCCCTGCAGTGAATAGTGAAGACAGGTCGCACCCGACTGTACTTACTTCCCCCTGGCTTTGCGATTGCTTTACATGGTGAAGGTTACATGTAGTGCCATTGCCCATCCATGCCCATATTCATGCCCATTCCACTCATAGGTCCTAGAAAGGAGATAAAATCCGAGAAGAGGCCGGACAATCAGCAATAATTGATGGCGAAAAACTAGGAGGAAACTCAGATTCCTTCTCACTTATTGCCTTGGTTTAAAAAAAGAAAAAGAAAAAGGATGTGTAGGAGGGGCAAAGTAAACGATACTATGGTACACTCTTTACTTTAAAAAAGAGGATTTTTTCCCCCCCACCCAAGATAAAGAAAGCAGGCAGAGCAGGCAGCAGGCAAACGTCAAACCCACCACGAGAGTGGGAGAGCAGAGTGGATGGAGAGGCTGGTGGAGGCGGCACCCCTTCCCAGGGAAGCCCAGTGGCGGGACCCCGGACCTACCTGCGGGCCGGATTCCCATGTGTTGCTGACCATCCAACACAAAGCTCCCCATGGGCTGACCTTCTGGGCTATATGCTGCTCCTTGGCTCACTGAAGGATCAAGAAGAAAACCTGATTGTGGTCATTCGAGGACACAGAGGAGAAAGAAGAAAAGATATACCACACAATCAGCAATTGTTCCCTGAAACGTTACAGCAACAAGGTGGTGCGCGCTCTAACAAGGGGGCGTGACCTACAGGAGCATTTCTGGGACTGAGCTAAGGCGAGTGAGTAGCTTTAGCCATCCTTCTGGAGGAAAGCCTTCGCCTGCCAGTTTAACAGGTGGGTCCTCCTCTTCATTTATCTCTCAGTGAGGGGAAGTGGGATAGGGACGGCTAGGGTGTCCAATATATAAATATGTCAACATGCTACTTAGTGAGATTTTGTGATTCTGCCACCTCTGGTGGCTATAAAAAAAATTTTCACATCACCCTCAAACATTTGAAATTCAAGCACAATTTTACAAGGTCAAACCGACTGAATTGAACATTTTTTTTTAACCCATACTTAGAAAATGTAAACATAGTAAATGTAATATTTCAGTTATTTTTTATTCTTCTCCAACGGCCCCTGGCCTCCACTGGTGGAAGGATTGAGGTGTTACTGGGGAAATGGTGCCAAAAGGAAATAAATTGTCTTAAATTCTTTAAACTGAGGCCACAGTTTAAATCTCCGTCAAGTTTGACACTCCTGTTAGTGACAGCAGTCATCACCACATGGAAATCGTTTTTCCTACAGACGGCCTTCCAGGGCTCCACAGCTCAGAAAGCTATTTCAAACGCCCAGGAGTTCACAGGTATGGCTCTGCCAGTACCTTACAATGATCGCTTCAGAGAATCTGAGAGATGCTGTGAGAAAAACTCACACGTACTTTAGTGGCGTGGATGTGAAGCATTTTAAAGAAAGGTAATAATCTTTTAATAAAAACATAACGCTGGCAACGCAGACTTTGGGCTTTGATAGGATATTATGAATAGTCAAAGCCAGTGAATGGATACAATGCGTTCAACAGGGGATGCTCCAGGAGCGAAAGCAACATGTACACCAAGGGATTGTGGGTAACAAGAAAATGAGAGTGCGCTAATGATTGGATGCAGACAAGCAATGAGTCATTCAGAGCTCACAGTCAAACAAACTGCTTGTGGCATTAATGCTTGTGCCCAATTACCAATTCAGGAGGAAAATAAAAAGCAGTTTCAGTAGAGTCAGGGTGGGAAATCTCCAATTAGCGCCAATTAGTGAAGTTGCTTCCTAGAATGGAATTCTGGGGACAGTAAAAAAGAAAAAAAAAAAAAAAGAAAAAAAAAAAAACCTCTCCCAGAATGCCTGATGGAAGCACTTATTTACCAGGTGATGAAACTCCTGACATCTAAGTTGGTGAGGGTTTGGGCCTGTGGGATGTGAACATAGACACTAGCTGGAACTTGCCTGCTCGATTTGACTGGTCAATCATTGGCTGTACTATTCTTCTCCTGGCGTTGATAAACCTGAAACAAAACAGAGAGACCGGCCATCAGATGCAATGCGGGGGATGTGACCCAGCCGGACATCTCCTGACAGTGATCGTTTGTTTGCATTCAAAGGCAATTTTCTCTTTCCCGTTCAAAAGCAGTGGACTGGCCCATCTCCCGTCGTCCTCTTGCAACCAACTGCAGGCTGGCTGGCTAAAATGGCACGGGCAGGGAAACGGGTATTCCCCGAGAAAGCTTCGCTTCCTTTGCAATTTGTGCTTCTGCTCCTGGAACAGGTCGGTATCTGGTTAAAGTTCGCAGGCTGGGAGATCTCCCCCTTCCCCGGCAGTCAGTCCCCAGCGCGGGAGACCCAGCTTCCCCCTCGCAGCTGGTCATAAATGGAGACCAGGCTCTGGCACTCTGCTTTCACAAGGTATTGTTAGGTCAGCAAAGCCATCAATTAGGCTGTCTGAAGTTTTATCACCAACACAGCAGTAATAAGTGCTGGCCAGAAAGACTTCTGCTCTTCGGCAACTCCTGCAGTTTGAGCCTGTAAAGTTGGGGGTCATTTAGAGGTCAGTGCCAGCTGGGGGCGGCCTCTCCAGCCTAAGCGGGGACACCCAGGGCAGGGATAAGGTAACTGCCAACCATAAACCCAGCCACCTTTCAACCCGCTAGAAAGGCAGAGAGCCTCAGGTACACATGGTTGATATTAGAGCCCGAGAAACGTTTTCAAATCAGGTGGTGGCTGAATCGCAGGAATGTGGAGGAGCAGTTATTTCGTCTAGAAGCCTGGATCTAATTTGGTTGGAAATCCAAAAATAAGTGCCTACTTCATGTTACTTTAATGTTTAATAATGCCCATCAAATATTCATGTACAAAGAGAGTAAGATGATAAGAAATCTCCTTTATTTCTCCAAATTTAATAAAAACAAAACAATTTCCCACCATTTGCGAGTTACCCTTGTCCCTGTGCATTTCATGATGAGCATTCCCCGCACGTGTGAGCACATCCCCAGCGCGGGATGCATTGGCTGTGTGTTTTGGGGGTGCTTGAAGGGAGGGGAGGATGCCTAGCATTTAGCTGGCTGTCCCTTAAAAAGACACTCATTTATAACATCTTCTAATATTCCCAGTGTCAAATCTTAAGTGCATGGGGATTTAATGATGAATGGGTCTGCATGGGGCCACAGGCAGGAACTGCAAACTTGTTCTTTGAAATTAGCCAAAAAAAAAAAAAAAAAAAAAAGAGCCTAGTGCGTGCTGGCACCTTTGCGTTCTGCCTGGAGTCCCTTCCTAAGGCCCTCACTCTCAGGCCTCCCCTGAGCACTCCGGAGGGAACACAATTAGGCCCGAGAAGAATAGCTGCAAGGAAACCAAAGGAGTCTTTTGCATATGGTGTTTGTTTGCAAAACAATGAACTTCTTTATTAGTTAAGAGAATATGGAGCTCAGTTGTCAAAAATGTGACACCCCTGCAGGTTTGGGGCCGAAAGTGACAGGCTAGGAGGGGTGAAAACAAAAGGAAAGTTCCTAACTGTGTGTTTCTTCCCACCTGGCACCAGACATATTGTTCAGCCAGATCACAGAGCCTTCCAGAATGATCCCTCCAGTCAGAAAAGGAACTTCATTATCCACTCTTTCCTCCCGGTTTTTACTGGGACCAAGGAGGTCTGCGCCGAGGTTCCACCCCCAGGAGCTCCTTTTATCAGCTCAGGGTAGGGCCCGGCGAGGTGCTGGGGAGAGGGGCCAACCTTTTCTCTCCTCCTTGAAGTTCCTAATGGAGGACACACATGGAAGGGGTTTCACCTCGTTTTATGGGCTACTAATCCTGGTTTTGTTTTTTCCTATAGGCCAACTCTTTAGGTAAAACGAATTGCTATTTTTTCCCTTTTTAATTTCACCCTTTTGCTCTTTTATTATTTACATCTGGAGGTTGTTCCCTTATTTATGTCTCTCTCTCCAGTTCCCCCAAACACTCCCTTACTCACAGAGCTGCAAGGCATCATGGTTCTTAGTTCTCAGCAGGAGAACTCCACACTGTCTTCAAACAAATAATTACAGGGAAGGTTAGAGGTTCACGCAAAGGTCATTTCTTTGGATCCTCGTCAGAATGTTTACATTAGTAAAAAACGGGGTCCTCTCAAAAGCTTGTTCCATGGGGGACACACAACAATGCAAAACATTAAAGAAGCATCCTGCGTGCTAGCAGGTCTTTATGGAAGCGCTGAACTTGGAAATGCCACTCCAGTATTCCATTTTCAACTAGTTACCATGGTGTGGGCCGATGTTCACTAGCAGTTATGGCAATGGCCTTTCTTTGTCCGGCTCTGCTCCACAAATACGAGGAAAAGCCTCTGAAGGTTTTCACCAGATCCTTTTAAAGAGGGTCATAGAGACTTTTGCTTTTTTCACTTGGGCTCCATTTGGCCTCTCTGAATTTTTGTTCTTTCAAACAATGTTTTTAATCCATCGTGCTGCATCTTGCCAGATTCATAACTCTACCACATTCTTTTAAATCACACAGAATTTTAAAAACATATGGGCCCCAATTTTTCAGAAATCTCTTGGTGTACAACTCCTGCCAATTGTCAACTCCCCTGATCTTGGGATGTCTTATAAACGTCATAGATGTTATTATTAAAATTAATTAATGAGTTGTCCGTATGAGCATTTGAACAGTAAGAAATGAAATTACCCCACTTTACTAATGATCCCTAGGCCACTCTTAAAAAAACACACTGTTGCACATACAAAATGGAACAATTTCATTATAGATTAAAAACAAAATTAGGAGTAATTTTTTTCTCTAATATCACTGTGATGAAATTCCTAAATGTAGTCTTCCCCAAAATTATAGGACCTGCATTTTCCCCCCAAGTCTTTATTTTAAAATGAATGTATTTAGCGCTCAAGCGGTAAGCAGAATATATCAACTTTTAAATATACTCAGATTTTAAAAAGCCTAAGGTGAAAATCAACTGATCTTCAATCTTTCAAGGTCCAAGCTCCATTCATATGGAAAAGTACAACTCAATGGTTCAAAGACAGAAGACAAGATGTCTTAAAAAGGCTTAAAAGGTTTCTTGAATATTAAATGGGTCTTACAAAATAACATTTTGATGAGTTAAGTGTAAATGAATCAGACACATATGGATTAAGTTATCCTAGAATTTCACACGGGTTTAAAAAATAAGGGGAAAAGAGGGTCTTGGCAAAAACATTTTGGACTTTGCCAAACCCAAAACATTTGAAAAATTGCTGAAGACATCCAACTAACCAACATGCAGCAAGCTGCACCCAACTTTAATGAAAACCCCCAAAGTTATTTCCAATCCAAAGAGTGTTAGGTTTTTCATCTGTATCTGATATAAAAAATAAAAAAATAAAAAATTCTAAGTCATAATGTCATCCCAGAATGATTTTGAAGTTGAGGACATATCATATACTCCTCTATTGGCACAAACAATTTTACCCAAAATTACAAAGTCTTCTTAGATATTAAATAGCGCTTAAAAACATGCTGAGGTTTGTGCAACTTGCGTGTAAAACGTGCCGAATATGATAAATGCCATAAATAAAATGTGCTAGTGAGTCTAGTGCCTTATCCAGATTTCACTTAGAAAAAAATTTCATTAGCCACATTGTGACTTTTTTTTTTAAGGGCGAGAGATAATTCCATTAGAGGTTCCTTAGGGAATGAGTACCCTAAAGTGCACTAGTCCATTGATTTGTATTGAACAGGAAGTTCGTATCCAGGCTCACACAAAGGCTCTGAGAGTACCTACTAATACCATTGACTTTCTAAGTTCTACTAAAATAGAAAATGCCATAGTCTGTGGGTCCCTTAAAAAAGAATACACTAAGATTGTTAGGCTAAGAATAACGTAACTATAGAAATACATTCAATGACTTTCCAAGAATCACAGGGCCTTTGTGAGTCAACTTGGAGAGATGAAAAAAGAATATTTTTTTTATTTTTTTTATTTCTTTTTTAATATATTTTATTGATTTTATACAGAGAGGAAGGGAGAGAGATAGAGAGCTAGAAACATCGATGAGAGAGAGTCATCGACCAGCTGCCTCTTGCACACCCCCCACTGGGGATATGCCCGCAACCAAGGTACATGCCCTTGACTGGAATCAAACCCGGGACCTTTCAGTCCCCAAGCCGACGCTCTATCCATTGAGCCAAACCGGTCTCGGCAAGAATATTTTTTTTAAAGGATAAATCCAAGATAGAAAAATATTGTTAAAAATCTCATCTTGTTGTCTTGCTGGAGAGATATCTCCTAGAGACCTCCCTCTATCCCCACCTTAACCACCGCCCCACACCAAGCTAAACTTTTCAGCTTTGCATACTTTTCTGCAACTGAAATCTCACCATCTTGATTTTTCTTTTAAAGTCTTTTCACTCCAAAGCCTGTTTCAGATTGTTAGAAGTAGGCTTAGGTGTCATTCCTGATTGTTGGCTGATTTCTTTTCTTGCTTTCTTTCTTTTCCCCCCCTTCTTTTTAAATGGTTGATAAATCCCTTTTTTTTCTGGTTCACTAACTTCATGCCACACCTGGTAACCAACTCCTTTAGGCAGCATTCCTGTTAGAAAGTGAGGCCTCCATGGAGTCACCTGGAAATCGGCCAGCCCTGAACACTGAGGAGGAAGCAAGCCTCCTGGAACTGAAGCTTTTGCAGGGACTGGTCTGGTCTAGGAAGGGGGCTGGGTTGGCGAAGAGGGATCAGATCAGCTTGGAGGAGGTGTTGTAGGCAGCGTGGGACTGGAGACCTGCTAAAAAATGGAAAATCTCTACTTCCCCACTTTCCCCAGCCACAGGGCTCCTCAGGGAAGGTGCTTATTCACAGAATTTGCTACTCCTTTGTGCTGAAACAATGAAGCCTCAACCAAGCCAGTTATCAAATTTCTTTCCTTTTTTTTTTTTTTTTCATTTTCTTTTCTTACTTTGAAAAAAAAAAAAAAAAAAAACCCAGCTAGTCTTTTTCTGTGCTGTGTTATGGTCAAGAGTGGGGAAGGCAGAGGT